GTTATTACAGTTTTTCTCAATTGTTTACACACATTTTCTGAAAGCATGCCTCATATTCTCAGAACTCTACACACAAATCAAAAACACACACACACAATGGGCAAAACCCCTCAATTGTCCTGCAAAATGAAACTTTACATTCAAAACAATGTTATTTCTTCTCAAAATGGTATTTTGTTTTCAAATGACACACACGAACCATCATATGAATAGACATCTATAGGAACCGGTTGATGTGCTCAATGTAAAACACTGTGATGAATGGAAAACACTTCTTCTCCATTCATCATAATGACTTAGGCCTTTGTTTTTGTTCAGTGTTACACTTATTTCAAACACTACATACATAAATGTGTAAACAAATATATTTTATTTTTCCCACAAATACAATGTACACACTGTACATCCCAAACAACACAGAGTTGCGCATACAGTGGTCTACATACAAAACAACAGAAGATATTACTGTATGCAGTTACAGTAAAAGAACGGCGGGGGAAAATATTGCCAAGCATGGTGTAGGCCTATCCAGCCATGAAAAGCATCAACTGCTATATCTCCACATGTGTCTTCCATAGCTTGGGTATACGTGTTTGTGGATTTCGGTCATACACTTTCCATCTCCAGGCAGAAAAAAATTCCTCAATAGGATTGAGGAATGGAGAATATGGAGGAAGAAAAACAACTAAAAAACGTGGGTGGGCAGTGAACCAGTTACGAACCAGAGCAGCCCCATGGAAACTTATGTTGTCCCAAATGACAACGTACCTGAGCTGCTCTGGGCTGTCTATCTGATCTGGTGGAAGGAGTGTGTTTTGTAGGGTGTCCAGGAATGTGATCAGATGGGCAGTGTTGTAGGGGCCAAGGGTAGCATGGTGACGGATAATCTCACATTGTAATGTTCCCTCCGCGCTGGCCAGGGACTTCAACAATGGCACGCATACCGATGATGCCCCTCCTTCGTCTTTTTGTGAGGTTGAATCCAACCACATCAATGAAGATGAACTGGTGCTCCACTGAAGCCACCTCTAGCTCAAGGACTCAATGTCAAATGACATTAAGAGCACTAGGAGGAGTCAGAGGAACCAGATTTTTTTAGTGACAGTTTCAACCAAGATGGCAAAAAGTTATTTTTTTTAAATAAGTTTCTTCTGCAGCTTTAAAAGAGAAATAGAAATAAAATAATTTGTTAATAATAATTTGTTGATAATTAATTATCAAGAACAAATCAGGTCACTCTCTCCTATCAAATAGAAATATTATTTCCTGCTCTGATGTAACTTTAGTGTGAATGTTGTGCACATCAAAGATGGACTATGGAAAGGAAGTTCAGACACCTACATTTACATACACTGTGTGTTGCAGTCGCCCTCCACTGTGATTTTAGAGTATTGCACCCTCTTATTTACTGCTGACCCAGGACATCTCCTCTCATTCACTCATTTTCACAAAATGCATGAGGATCATTCAACAGAACAGCTGGGTTGATCATCCCAGCGTTAAATCTCTTACTGCACACACCAACATACTGTCATCATGTTATTCACACCCAATTCTGTTACTGATTGAGAACAGATGTCCTCACTAAAAACATCCTCAGCTCTCTAAACTCTTTGGCTTTGACCAAAAATAGACAAAATAGGCACCGAAGCTATAAAAGGCTCTGAAGCAAATGAGGTGATAACTCTCACTGAACAGAATGGAAACAATGTTCACCCTTTTTTCTAGGCTATGCCAGAGTTGCACAGCCTCTCTCACCGCTTTGCATACTTGGGATGAATTAGTCTACACTGTCAACACACTGAGAAAGAAATATACAAATAAATTATCGCTCTGTTTATTGCCATTTATATTAAGGTAGACAAACACTGGACAAAACAGATATTGAACTTTTGACATTTAAAATTAAATAGGTACATTTGGACTGCCTTCTGCACAAAAACCATCAACTTAACCTTTCTAGAAAGGAGGCGGGCACATCCGACCCTCACAACGTCAGTGCATGAAGTAATATTCTGCTTCCAGTGTTTGACCCCCCCTCAGCCCCAGGTCTTGCTTCTCATGTATTAGAAGCACATTTAAAACGTTTTTCTGAAAAATACCCACTGACCAGAGGGTTGTTTAGCAATACTTATGGCATTTCTAGACGTGTTTCCATAATCTTCAAAGACTCTTCTAACAACATGGATAAAAAATATTCTGTCCCCTGCAATAATAATACCTTATTAGCATCCCTTTTTTAAATCCAAAGATAGATCCCACAAACTGCCATGTATGTCACTGCTCAATTTGTATGGCATTAATATTAAGTTGTCTATGATGACGTTTATTTCTATTATTTAATTATTTCATATACAATATTTGTAGCACAGGGGCGTGGCACAAGGTGGACCCAGTACATAGGTATAATCCGCCCGATGTTGTACTACACAGTCCTAACTTGACCTTGTGACTGCGGGTATGGGAGGCAGGCGGGCTAACAAGGAGGTTAAAACCTGTGAGTTTGTTGGTAGCACGTCTCATAAAGCCTAGTTCACACTACACAATTTTTAGCCCGATTTGCCCCTCGGCGACCATCAGGCTGTGATTGGGAGTAAATCAGCGGTTGATCGGCGGTCGTTATGTGTAAACTACTCAATGACGCGTCACAACGGCTTCCCGACACATTCCCGACTCGACATCCACATCCAGCCAATTAGTGCAGGCAGCTGGCAGAGCAGCGGTACTTTTTCACCGCAAAACACGTTTCACTCTGCAGCTCTCTCTGTAGCTCAGACAACCCCTGCTACCTGCGTGTGCTAATCCATTCTTTCACCCATATTCTTCGTCTTTATAATAACAAACAACAGCTGTTTCGTGTGTAGGTTTGCATCATTTCCCGTTTTACATTTCACTTGTGTTTTCTTGACAAAATGCGGTTTGGAGACCAGCGTCGGGTGACACAGCCGTTGTCAGCTCGTGTAGTGTGTGACCCCCTGTCACCGATCAGTCACGTAGTGTGAACGCCACAACGACTTCAAGACTCCCGTGACAAGATGGCAAGTTGTGTAATGTGAAAGGCACGGCCATCGGCCGATGCTGAAAGTCATGTCGTCTGCACAAGGTTTAAAGTGCAATTTTACTTCTGCATCAAATTGACGGCGTAGGTGATGGCGTAGGCTACGGGGCTACACAGAGGCTACACCGTCGCCTGATGTGCACCTCCTCAAAAATGTAACTACACATCGAGTTGATGCGGACTGTAAGCTCTGTGATTGGTCGGTTGATGCCTCCGAGCCGACCAGAAGTACTCTGCGCTTTGAAGTAACATTTACTAGCGGCCAAAACGGCGGCTGTAACACAGTGAATCAATATATTTGACAGTCGCAACCTGAGCAAAATGACTCGTTTCGCTATCAGAATGTGATCCATTCGGTCGGTAACATTTGAAAAGGCTACACCAGCCGCACGTTTACAATTTTACCCCCATTTACATTAAGGGAGCGCTAAACCGGAAGTTAGCCTGCTCGGGCCGGCAAAAGTCAACACAGTGGACGATGTAGCGCTACTGCCGACTGGCGTTTGGGGTGTAATAGCAGAATGATGGACACACCTAAACGCACAAATATAAATACGTAGGTACGCACGTAGACCCTACGCAGGAGTATAAATGGGCCTTTAGGCGTCGGGGAGTGAGTTTACTCAATGCACAGCCTAGCTGGCTACCATTACATATACATTCTCTGTGGGCCCCTCCTCACATGAGGGCCCTGCATACTCAGTCCCCTTTGTCATCCCAGTACTGTTGCAACAATATTAGAAAACCAAAAAACACACCAGGAACGTCTAGATCGTCTTAATTTATTAGTTCAGCCATGCATAATTAGGTTGATTTATCACGTAATTAGCAACAGCTTTTTAAGCTTCTTTCGACTCATGTCAGTGATCAGTGAACAAATAAACAAAATACTGCGTCCAACAAAACAAGCAAGGAGGTACACCCATAATTTACAGCTAATTTAGCCGCATACGCATGTTCAACGGACTATTTCTTAAACCAGATGTCTTTAAAAGAGTGGTTAGTGTTTTTATGACAACAATAGCATATTTCATTAGCTACCAAAAAAATGTTTCAGATGATTTACAACTCTAATTTATCTGTCCCTCTAGGATTTCGCAATGTTACGTTTGCAACTATTAATACAAATTCAAGGAATTCCTGTGAATTCAGAGTGACTTGCAATTTTGACCAATCGGCGCAACTTTTCTGTAAATTTGATCTATGATCGCTGTTATCGTAGAACACTGTCATATGTCAGTAAACTCATTTCCTTGTTACAAGTTGCAGCAGACATGTGTGATATCAGCGTCTCACATTTGCCTACAAAAAAACATGCCATGAAAAACAGTGTCCAGATCCTTTTTTTCCAAAGTGGGGGTAAACTGTCTACCACAAAAAAAAAAATTTAAAAACGAAGAAAATGACATCAAATGAGACAAACCACTGATACAGGCTGCTACATCCTGGTCAATTGCAAGCGCTGTCAAGTAATGTTGGTTTAAATATGCAGGGTTAGGCCTAGGTATTTCAAGACTCCTTGAACACTTCAAGAACAAATATTGAAGGTATGGACATAAAGGAAGCACAGAGTGGGGACTTCCTCGCCCCTGAAAAGCATGTCCACGCCACTGCTCACACTGATGTATTAAATTCTTCTTCTGTTGTGGGCTACTTTTACTCTGCCCTTGCCCTCTCACTTTCTCATCCCTAACACCTTCAGGCCAATCAAACGTAACACTAGAGCCTCCTCCGTTAAGTAAAGGTCAGACCTAGCCGGTACAGCCACGTTGTCAAATATTAACTGCTCACATTGATAACAGAAAAAAGGGGCAGCGAGAAAAATGGGTTATATTTTGTTTGTTTGCGTGAATGGGAAGGGGGGCGGTCCCTGTGGTCGCTTGGGCCAATAGCATCGCCAGGAAGCGTTAACAGACGTAGATTCCAACCAATGACTGAAGCGTGCAGCTGGACAAACGCGACCACGACAGAACCTTTTTTCCCCCCTCGACGTTTAGCCAAAGAAACAGTGGATTTATCCGTTTTTTAGCCAATAACGCGAGCAAACTGACAAAGGAGACACGTGTTTGCTTTGCGTATCGGGGATTAGTAGCAGAATTTCATTGCTGTGTGGTTTTCTTGTGACAGCCTGGACCGGAAAAGAGCCGTTCACCCCCCGACAGCTGGTTTGCGGATTCCCCCTCTTTGCGCTTGAAGTTGTGTGGTGAGTCTGTTGTTATTGGTGGAGTAAAAGGTGAAGCTAGCTGTTTGCAACAGAGAAGAAAGAAATAGCAGCAAGAAAGCTAACGGTGCTCCTTAAAAGTAATTAACTCATGTTACTTTTTGTATACGAGCTCATTTCTTAATAACTTACTCCAGTTGCACAGCCAACATTAGGCTACTTATTGTGTTGCACCAGATAAGACCTCAAATATCTTGTCTGCAAAGATGGAAACACTTTAATGAAAAGGCTGAAATTGTGGTAAAACAACTTAAGAGTCTTCTCCAACATTAGAAATAGTTGTATTGTGATAAGCTACAGCCCTGGGGCATAGCCTATGCAGTCTTCAAATGCTGGATTTCTATCTTTACTTTGATCGGTAATATGTCGGGTTATAAACCCATACACTGAAACCCGAACAACAGAGCGTATTCTTTAATAGTCTGTTGTTCATCATTGTAATGATTTAGTCCTCATAAAGCTCAGTTGAAGTGTGACTTGTTGGATTATTTGTTATTTATCGAGAGAAATGCTTCCGAAGCCACGCAGGCATTTGTGTGTTGGTGAAGAGTAGTGGTGGACCTTGAGGGATGTTTGTTCACATGCTGCATTCAAGTACCCACTGTGAGCCCCGATTTTCGACAGTCAATGTTACTGTGACGTGAACTGCTGAAACGATCAAATGAATCGATAGTTAATTGGCACCCTTTAAAGCGAAGCTGTGTACTTGCGACCCCTTAGGCCTTGGGAGATGCATATGTCTTTGAGTTGCCAGCAGCCTAACCAAAAAGTGAAGTTCCCTTTTTGAGATTGTTGGACATAAATTGTTTAAAGTAGTGCAAAGATGTAAAACTATTTTATAATAAAGAATTAAATATTAGTGAAATGTCTGAAAACTGAAGCATCAGTCTTTGTTTACTTGAATATTTCAAACATTTCTTTTTTTAGCCGTTTGTCCTGGGTCCCCACACATTTTGATTTCAACATTTTGATTCACTGATTTATTGTTTTCCAGCAAAAATGCCAAACGTTAAGTGGCTCCTGTTGTCATATGTGACTGCTTTTCCCTCTTGTATATCACTGAAAATATATGTTGGGGTTTTGGGCTGTAGGTTGGACAAAACAAGCAACTTGCTGGTGATACACTCAGTTGCCAATTTCTACACCTCGCTAAAATGAACCCAGTCTAGTACAACAATGCAGAAATAAATCCTGCCTTCATGTTCAGTTTTGGAGGCTGTAGTTTGTGGTGCTGTTGAGATTATTCTGTGTTTGAGAGGGTTTTCTAATATTTAGTCTACCCTCATTGATGTTAATTTGGTGGACAAAAGTATTAGAAACACTCCACAGTATAATGCAAACACTCAACAGCACCACAAATTGCAGCCTCCAAAATGACCATAAAGTTGAATCAACACCTCTCTGAAACAGTTTCAACAAAAACTGAGCAGGATCACCTTCAGGAACGCAGGATTTATTGCAGGACTGTTGTATTAGACTGGGTTCATCTTGGTGTGCCTAATAAACTGGCAATTGAGTGTGTATGGCTCATGGCTTTAAGGTATTTACTGCAGTCATCTCGTCAATGTGTGATCACATCTCTTAGCTGAAGTTGTTGCACACAGAAGTATCCGTGTCATTCCTCATTTGATGTCAGCCATTTAATTAGCATGACTAATGACATTAACAACTGTAACTTTGCTGGATACATCATCTGATCATGCACTATTCACCTCTTGTGTGTGTGTGTGTGTGGGGGGGGGGGGGTGGAAATACTGTGGTGGTATACAACCAGATGTTGTGTAGCTGCTCACATATCCGGGCCGCGTCTGCTTCTGTGCATCACTGCAAATGTTTTGTCTGCACGTGACGTTTGGTCATTTTCTCTCCACATGCACTGAACACTATCAGTGTTAGAGTTAATGATCATCCTCCTAATGGAAATCAGCATGTTTTGAATATTGTCGTCCATCCTTGTATACCAATATTTAGATTCATTCAGGCATCTGAAGTATGGGGCTGGTTAATATGGTTGAAATCATTATCACAATATCAACATGTAATTTTCCAATATCTGTATAGATATCTGAATGGCAAATGTCTGCAATATTCAAAGCAGTGAACCATGTTTTTCCTCATACTGTATATTTAAAATAATAATCCCATGACTGTGTAGGTTGGTTTGTCATTACAGTTTGCTCAAAAGTGGAGCTGAAGTAATAAAACAATGTTGTACGTTACTCATCGCATAAAAATGGTAACCTTGTTTTGATGTAAGCTGAACATCTTTGGGGTTAGGGCGGCTGGTCAGGTAAAACGACACATTTGAAGAGTAGTTCTTTTGGTTTGTGGGCAATAGTGTTTGGCGTTTTTCGGACTGTGTCCATGTGGTATTTGTTTGTCAAACCCACATTCCTGAAAGAACCTGAACGCAGCGCCGCGACCACGTGACCGACCCAGCTTTCTAACGTTAGCAAGGTGGCTAACAGGATTTAGCTAACTTGAGCTACGTTGCATCGCAGCACGGAGTAAATCCCCACTGGAGAAACGACGAACACGCAGTCTTCGCTGTGTAGTCGCAATAACTTTTGACTAAACGGTACAATTTAAAGCGAACAACGAGAGCACAATGCCAGGTAACTAGTGCTTTTAAAAGCTTTTAATTTAAACGTGTTGTATGTGCAGCGCTGGCGTAATCCCCGAAGCGGAGGCTTGTTTTGTTGACCTGCTTCACTGACGCTGCCATGCTGTAGCAGCGTGCTAGCTCATAGCGGACCAGCCGACTTTGTTTGGCCTCAAGCATCCAAACGGGAATGGTGTTTGTCCTCGACTCGTGGTTAACGTGTTTTAATATCTCGCCATGTCTTTTTCATTCGGTGCTTTGTTCGCGTTTAGGCAGTTTTCACGTCAACGCACCTCACGACTTTCATGAGAATAACTGTTTTTCAGCCACCCAGCCCTCGACTCTTTGTTGTTGCTGCTGAGATAGCATTCACCTTAGGCCCGCTCACTGACAGCGCGGCTATGTGCATCTGTGTAGCTGGTTAGCCAGCGTGAACTAGCCACTTAGCATTACCTCGGCTAAAACCGTCCAATCCAGTTAACCAACTTTCCAGGTAGGCCCAGACACCTGGTCTAGCCTGTTAGCTCACCGGGCACGTTAGCAGCCTATAAGCCACTACGACACAGCTCCTATCACCTACAGCAGCACACTAACTGTTACCTTACATAACCTCTTATGTAGCGGGCTATTCTGTGACTTTCAAAGTACCTATTATACACAGTTGATGCGCTTAACGCTACACAAACCTTATCTTCACTTTCCCGTCAGGTTTTGTCGCTCCACAGATTGGGTATCTGTTTTACGGTTTTGTCCATAAAGTATCCTGGGCTTCTCCAAGAAATTAACAAAATATATTAAAACAACATAGTCCATAGCAGACTGACACTACGTTTTCACGTGTGGCCTTTCATATTGTGACCTTTTGTAAACTATTTTTTATATATATATATATATATATATTTTTTAACGGTATTAGTTCGTAATCTTATTTTGTTGTTACCTGCCGATTTCAGCTGTTTACAAATCAGTTAACAGTTTGGAGGAATGGCTTGACTTGTAGAAATAACATCGGCATATCTTTTTGTGAACTTACTGTCCGTATATTATTTTATATATATTATTTTATATAATATTTTAATTCTCAACCAATAAATGTAATGCCTGTAAAGTTGTCCAGAGCACAGGGTAACATTATCAAATTGCATGCTTTCTTCACCCAACAGTCCTAAAGAAATATATGTATTTTTTTAAATGTTATTTTCGTGTGTGTGTTACAGTAATGTCAAAGTGTGAGAGAAACAGCAGACCCTGTTACCAAAGGCATGGCATTTTAGCTTTAGGAAGCTTTAGGATTAATGAAACATTGAAATTGTTGCTGAAAATTATAGAATTTAATCTAAAATAAATGTTCATCATAGTTTAGGTGTTTCTTCAATTTTGTCAGACCGTCCAAAAACAGTCCAAATCCCTAAAGTATTACATTTACTGTTTTTACAAAAGCTGCTCCTACCAGTGAATGTTTGTTGTTTTTGCTTAAGTAATTACTGAATATTGGTGGATTATCAAAATAGTGGCCTAACAACATGTTTTAATAGTTACATTTGGGGCATTTCGCTCCCTTTTTTTGTAAAATAACTTTTCAGATGGAAATTGTCACCCCCATAGGAAGGATCAAATTTCTGTGCATCGTTCATCCTAATGTGTCATTCAAAATATGTCCTAATAGACAACAAACGTAAGTCTTAACGAGAGTCATGAATACCAAATAAGATAGGACAAGATAGAATTCATGTTAAATATTTGCAGTGAATAAATACACAAACAAGGCAGCACAGCTGACATCCATTATTGGAATTTATTAAGAAGGCGGCTTCGTTGGTCATCAGGAACATCAAGTCAGAAAATGTTGACATCTACAACTGGAGGGCAACTGAAAGTGTTTTAGGTTACAGCATCGACTCATTTGACTCAGAACTAGAGCTCAATCATATTGCAGCTTTCCTCGTTTATCCTTCACCCTCATCCAGTGGGATCAGATCTCACTTTGCTCACAGCCATGGAGCATCCCAGGCTCCGCTAACTAAATATTACATGGTGCCCAACACATGGTGACGCAACATGTCAAGTGCTACATATAGTACTTAATGGCACAGCGCTCGCCGTCTCCTCCTTATTATTCCGGTTGACCCACCGTGCGCTCCTGTGTCGCCTGAGTGGAGGCACGTTTACAGTGACTCTTAGCAACTGTATCAGTTGCTTAAGGGTTTGGATTCACAGGATCACTTATAGCTTTAAGGATTTTGTTTTGGAAGAAGTCTCTAAAAGGGGTGCAACTAGAAGTTGCTTTAATCATGAGTTAATCTTTTGATTCTTCAATAAAGAATTTGTTTAATCTGTAAGGCGTCAGAAATGGAAACTAATTGCCTGTCAACTTGATGTCTTAAAGTTTTTTTTTTTTTTTTTTTTCTCCAGTCCAAAACCCAAAGATATTAAATTTTAAATTATATACAGCCAAGAAAAGCAGCAGATCCTTACATTTGAGAAGCTGGAACCAGAATTTACTTTGGAAGTCTTGCTTAATAAATTATTTAAACTATAATTTAGCTCTAACCTCCTCTGTTTTCTAACAGAGGTTTTGCTGATAGACATCTATTGTGTGCTTATATTTAATTCCCATGCCTGATAGTTGAAATTGAGTGTAGTTGTGCATTTGTTTAGAAGTGTCCAGTAAACTTTGGCAATTGATGTTAAAAGTCTGTGGTCCAACACTTTCTGGAATCCAATAAAAACACAGAAAAACATGCATATGCAGGCTGCAAACACTTTGAACATGCTGGCACCTTGCTCAACTAGTTAAGTTGGAAATGTGGGCTTCTCATGGTGTTTTTTTTTTTTTTAACAAAATGTTCTGTCGTACCCTCTCGCGCTCTCCTGGCCTGCATATTTGCCTTCTTAACTAACATCTTGTGTGAATTGTTGCACTGCATAATCAGGCTACTTTATCATTGCCTACAGAAACACTGACATCTTGGAGCCTGCCAGGCGTCTTGTTAGTCTACTAACCTACTTAGATTACACATGTTTGTTTGAACTCTGAAGGACATCGCGCCCATACTGTCGCTGCGTGCAGTGAACAGCACTCTCCCTCAGGTCAAACTCAGCTGACACATGTTGATTGTGTTTCACCGACCGAGGCAGAAACAGCAGTAATAGGTGTCATCAAAACATTATGTCCTGAATTTGGCAATCAGGTGGGTAAAGCTGCTGGGAGTTTCAGGAAGTAAGTCAGTCCTTCGCAAGTCAGAGATTGCAATAGCGTGTCTGCATCAGGCTGACCCTGAGGCTGTTTGCACGGCTCGGGTGAGATCATCATTGTACTATTTCTCATTTTTTATTTATCTTTTTTTTTATTCTCCACCCCCACCCCCGTGCCCACTGTGAGGCTGCAGTTGAGTCATGACAAGTCTGTTGGAGCTGGCTGGCAGTCTGGCTGGCAGTCTGAGGATTATGTCATAGCGGGCATTTATCATCAGAGCTTTGTGTTGGTGTCGCAGAAGTAGGGACGCACACACAATCATGTCTAATCACTTTTTTTTTTTTTTTCCATCATTAAATGTAGTATACCTGAGAGATGGTATTTTCAATGGTATTCCTGTTGGAATGACTAATAAACAACCTTTTATTTTTTTTATATTTCTTCTACCTTTTTTAAGCATAGTTTGTGTTCAAAATTCTCGTTATAATCATTTATCAACGACAACACATCTATTGGGCTTTCCAAAGAAACTTTGGATGCTCAGCTGCCTTGACGATAGCGAGGCTATGTAGCAATATAGCCTACAATGCAACTGCTAAAGCCAGCTTGGCTTCAAGGTCATGTATGTGAGATCAAACACATGACAACAAGACAGTAGCTAATTAATATGCACTCTCGGCACATTGACACTGTTGCAGGTGAATTACTTTAAATGTTAAAGTAAATTGCCCTTAGTCTTGATCTGTCAGTGTTTCAGATTTTTCCATCATTGTTAAAAAATACCGTAAAACTTTGAATAATAGCCCGGGCTTTTATTTGCTAAAATCTGAATTGACCCTGCCTATATTTGGGACAGGCGTCCATATGGGACAGGCCTTTAATTCCTTTTGCACAAAACTGAAAGTACCATGAAACAGTTTATTTCAAACAGAATAATATTAGTATAAAAATTATCCAGTAATATCAAATACACGTCATTCATTTAATCTAGCTGCGCTTTTATTTTGAAGTAGGATGAGAGAAGTGTGGCTGAAGTTAGCAGAGTGCGATGGACTTCACATGACAGGATTTACAACTTGGATTCATTTTATGAAAAGCTGTTTTGATTCTTTTGATCGGTGGACCCTTACAGACTAAAGGAATATAAGTAATCAAGGAAGGGACACATTCTGACTTAACGAGCGCTTAAAAGGTAATGGCAGTCAGCACAGCGGTAAATCTATAGGAATTAGACTTTAGGGCTTGTTGTTTCCGTTAAATGCTCTGAACTATTGAATTGTGGAGAATCTTACTGATCTAAGATGTTCAGCATGTCCGTACTGACACATTGATCATACATTTAAACATTAATATTGATGTTCACGATCCAAGCAGCTAAAGCGGGCGACGCAGCGGGGTTTAAAAGGTTTTATACATCCTAAGAACTTGTATAAAAACCACTAGGCGTCTGTTTGTCAAAATGTGTTCACACACCAGGCCAGTAAAGGAGATAGGCGGCTATTTGGGACTCTGCTATTAATTGAAGTATGTATCAAAAGAAAGAAAAATGGATTTTAACACCCAATGCAATCTAGAAGAAGCCCGGTAAAACCACTTGCAGCATAAATGTCCACGGTCTCGAGTTGCGGTCCCCTCTTCTGTGTCGCGCCCCCCTTTTGTTAGAAAGTCAGACTAGTGTATTTATGTTTACTCCTCGCCAGGCCTGTGCAAAAAATCAATACAGCAATATATCGCAATACTTTATTCCACAATACTGTTTCAATATTCCAGCCCTTCTCGAGCCCGGCTCCAATGGAGCATTACGGACTGTTTAAAAAAAAAAAAAAAAAGTATTATTACAATATGCCAGTATTTGAATGCTTTAGCATTTACAGTAAGAATTTTGGCCAATGAGCCACTGTTGAATGTTAACATTTTTATATTTTTTCCCTGCTGTACCGAACGCTGACCCAAAACTGAGGTACCTACCGAATTTGCTGTACCGTTCCACCCGTAAAGAAGATGAAGCTGGCACTTTGTACCTCAATGCTCGATAATTGGGCTTGCTTTCAGTACAGCCCTCAGTGGATAATGAATTCGCTCCATCAGGAAGCGCAAAATGAAATGTGCAGCAAGTACACTAATCACTAAAGCACTAAAAATTACCCTCTAACCAATTGGCACGTAAACCTCGACTTCAAAGTACAAAATTAATGCAGACCATAGCAAAGAATGCCGGTAAAACATCTGTACTGAACACGAAGATTGATTATTTCCTTAATTTTTCACTGTTTGAAACCATTTGCCTTCTTTTTTTTTTTTTTTTTTTTAAATAAATCTTAGAGCCATCTGAAAGCAGCAGGACAGATGTGAGTTACACCTGCAGCCTCTACATTGCAACATGCAGCACTTTTTATGTACGACGCCTCACTGATTTACTGTCTGTAACTTGTTTCTACTAATGCCAGTCTAACTTGTGCTTTTCTTTACTGTCCGTTATAACTCCTGGTTTTGCCATCCTTGTCTTAGATTTAAACCTTATTTCATTGTTTTGGCCGTGCACAGAAATGGGTACGGAAAGGAGGAAGTTGACGTTGTGCGTGAACCGACTGATTTAACACTCTGGGTATTTGTTTGCCTGTGAATGTTGCTGTCTGTCTTCATGATCTCAGTCTAGGCCTGTTTGTGTATTTCCCTGGTTAATAATAATATTGTAAGCCTTTTACCGTAGCACTGCAATTCACCAACCTGGAAAAACTATTGATTGCGGACATAAAATGCCAATGACTGTTATTTAGGTGTTTGCAGTAAGAGATTTCAGCTCTCACATAGTTTTGGAGACCAGGTCCCAGTCCCAGCTGGTGTTGCAGTTTTCAGTCAGTCTTATTCAGATCATGTGATATGGAAAATTGTTCTTCGGCGGGCTTATTTTTTATGAGCAGTGAGACTCTACGAAGACTTTTCTACCCGTGGGAGCAGTTTTCCCAGCTGTAGCTAAAATGGAATTGAGATCCTGCTAATTCGTTCAATTTGGATCCAGGGCTGAAACACTGCAGCCTTGATTCAGCTGAGATAATGTAAATTTAAGAGCCAATAAGACCCAGCTGTGGGCGAGTGAACAGGAGATGAGTCAAAGTTATCTGGCTTCAAGAAAGGGAGAAAATGAAGCACGCATGGTGTTGAATTTGTTTTTGGGAGTGAGTTGTGTCTGATTTGAAAACTAAACTTTGCCATGATGAAGTTTTGAGCTGAAGTTCAGTGAAGAGGTGTTTTTTGATTTATCAAAAGTTTCCTGTTTGCACGCCTTGGCCAGCTATTACGCTTATGTAACTGTCTTCTCGTGCAGAGCCGGCTGAGATGAGCGGTCCAGAGGTGGCCAAGACACCGGGAGGCGGAGCTCCAGGCAAGGAGGGAAAGGAACCTGTGGCCAATGGGCACGCAGGAGAGGGCAACGACGCCAACCCATTTGCTGAGTACATGTGGATGGAGAATGAAGAGGAGTACAACAGACAGGTAAATAATGTTTCATATAATGTCTCGCTCAAAACACATTTTGGCCACAGTTTTTAAAAATCATTTTAAGGGATCTTTAGACTCAGATTTATTAGTTATTTTAAGTCTAGCCTTGGTCAGGTCATTTGTAAAATCCAGTCCCGTGTTGTATATAACTGTGCAGTATTTTTGCATCTGATGATACTTCATTACTAAAACTGGTCTTGTAGTTTATTATCTCTTAAAGTATTTCTGGGTGCCTTTAGTTTAGAGTGGACAAAAGAGAGATGATGAGAAATAATGGGAAAGGCAAACAGGCAGTGACATGCAGCAAAGTTCCCTGGTCAGAGTTGAACTGGGGACATTGCTCCCCGGGGGCCCCCCTTCCTAGATCATATTTCATCTTCTCACCAGTACCTGCAGCAGCATGCCCAACACAGCCTTTTTATGCACGCAGAACCCGTGTGTCAGTGTATGTAAATGTTAACATCCCTCCATCCCAGACTGTGAGCTGGTGTGCTTTTAGCCAGGTTGTTTGGATAAATCTGATTCATTATTATTCTTTTATGAATTTGCCCCTGAATTATACCTGCCCTGGTGCTTCTTACTCAGTCTCTCCTTCCTTCCTCCTGGCCCACTTTCGTGTCTCTGCTGTGTCACACTCGCTGAAGCTCTCCTGTATATTCAGCTCTGCCATTTTATTTAGCTTTCTGCTGTCCCCCACCTTCATCTTCTCCTGGCCATGTTGACAGAGGTTCTCAGGGCAGCTGAGGACTGATCCTATCCATAACTTACCAGACCTGTTTACCTCCCTTTCCCCCTCCCCCACTTCCTTTTTTGTCCATTCCTCCCCTCTTCCTGTCCCCTCCCCCCTCTTCGATCCATAAGGAAGAAATACATCCTTATCACAGAAGATTATGTGGACCCGTCTTAATCACTCCAGTTACATGTTAGTGATGTATAGGTAGAAGTGTGCCTGTGACGAGCATTTATTTTGTTCTTCAAAATCCATCTTCCAGTAATTAGTGCCCTTTTCAGCTCTCTGTATCTCGATCTGCAGTCTTTTTTCCTCTCACTTGGCTGGATGAGTCATGTGTTTTAATGCCTCCACATTACTGAGAAGATTTCTCTTTAGGAAACCTTCCACCTACTTGTGACGCAAATAATCTGAGATATTCCTCCTGTCTCTGCCCTTGCACTATGTCTCATCTCTCCTTTCTTTCTTTCTTCTCTCCCTCGTCGTCTCCCAGGTGGAAGAGGAGCTGTTGGAGCAGGAGTTCTTGGAGCGCTGCTTCCAGGAAATGCTGGAGGAGGAAGACCAGGATTGGTTCATCCCTTCTCGTGACCTCAACAACCAGGGGGTGGGGCAGCTGCAACAGCAGCTCAACGGCCTGTCAGTCAGCGATCACCACAGCAACCTGGAGGAAGTGGCGGTGAGTCGGAGATGCATCTCATTAAATAACCAATTCTTTTTTTTTGACAGTTCTGAGTTTAGGAACAACGAAACTGCTCTTACTCTCTCTTTTCATGCCTTTTTCTGCAGAGGAAGAGCTTGTTGAACCCCGAAGCGAAGGAATTCGTCCCGGGGAAGAAATACTAGGAGTCCCCCTCACCCCCATGGAGCCTCCACGCGCACACACACACACACACACACACACACACACACACACACCGGTCCTCACATTCTCAGAGACTCTGGCGGCCATGACCGCGCACACACTGATGCTCGCACACACGCATGCACGCACACACACCTACACACTTGAAGTCAGTGGCGTGCTGGCAGGCCCAGTTGGGGGGTGGGGGGATTTCCTTTTTTGTTTTCTTTTTTTTTGTTTCTTTAATCTTTTTATTTCCTGTTTTGTTTCTTGTAAGCTGAGGGACATTGGGAACAGGGGTGGGGGATGGGTGTAATACCAGCACCGCCCTACTGCGGGCGCATTTCAGATGACACTGTTGATATTTACAGAGTATGCAGATCTCATTGATGTCCCCTTGGAACTGAGGCAGCTACCAAGGAGTGATGCCAGGACAATACTTCAGCCCAAAATATCTAATAAACTTGAAAGGTTACTTCACATACTCATTAATTTGTGTGCTGTCCAAGTTTTAACAACATCACCAGTAGTTTGAGGGTTTTCATGACAGTGAGATTAGAGCACGACTAACATTTCAGGGGACTTGATGGGTTTCTCCCACTGCTCTGTAAAGTCATCACGGTCAGTCAAACCTGTTAACGTTTGCTCCTATGATGTCATAAGCTCTTCTTGTGCATCTAGAAATGCGGCTTGTTATTTGTATCTGCAGTGGCTCCGTTCCAAACCAAATACAGACCCCACCCTCCCTGCACACATGTTTTTGGAAGTGATCTTAACAGACATGGACAGGTGTAACCATGGATAAGAAATTATTTTCCCAATTTATGTGGAAGTCCATGTTTTATGTTGTGTCCAGCTTATTAGAGCCGAGGTGCGCGTTAACTGATCACACATCAAGATGAGAAAAATGTTGTTCTAAAGGGAAGGTCAGAACTTTTTGAACCTTCAGAAAATCCGTTGTTATATTTTATTCACGGTTTCATCCTTTTTTAGTTCAATTTGTATTCATGGGGTGTAGTGAACAACCTCGTTATAGGGGAGTATTTGGTCTGGAACAATGTCACTGCCTCTTTCTGCCGGAACAACTTGGTTTGTCCAGCATCAGATCAAGTGTTCATATCCAAATCAGGTTTTCAAAAAGCCTCTCCTCTTTTGTCTATTTTTCCCCCTTCATGTTTTGAGGATGAGGCATTTTGTGTCTCTACTGGGTACAGTAGCCTGTGGTGTCCATTTAGTCCTGTTTGCAGGAGGAAACATGAAGGGACAATATTGTCAAAGCCAATCAGAATAAAGCAGTATGGAACATGTGGCTGACAGTATGGCCTCCTTGCTGTTCTTCTCTTTGTAGGTTGACTTCTTCTGAGGAAGTTCTTCTTTTTAACCATAAATCTTTGTTGTGGTCTGGCTTTCCCTGAAGCATCGTTCCTTAGTGCAAGTCCAATCTCCGTTCAGTTGCGTGCCAATAGGAAAAAGTTGTATATGTGAAGATGCTTTTTAGGAAACCTGGATTGTAATCCTGAATTACTGAGTCACTTTTTCTAGTTCTCGGCCATTTGGGCTTGAAAACACAGAGGATATGTTGTCATAAAATCTGAACATAAATCATCTTTATGCCACTGTTCATTTGTGGTATCAGCAGTGACAATAATGTCGTGTGTTTTACTGTATTACTGTTAAGTACACTTGTGCACTTAGGGAGTATCTGACAGGTGAAAGCGCTTCTTTACACCCTTGCAGCTTTTCCAATTTTCAGCCTAACAAGTACTCAAGTGTGTTCTTAAACCGTGCAGTAGAGATCGTGAAATGTTGGTTAAAATGGAACTTCCTCACACAGTGTTGGACCGCAGTTGTCAAATGACACCCTGGTGAAGCCAATAGGAATGTCTGCCAGGTGAACATAAAATCATTTTTGGTGATTTTGTTTAGATGAGTTAGATGACTGAAGTCGTGGAGGAAAAAAAAGAGGTCCAGAAGAGACAGTATGAATTTCAGTACAAATAAAAATAATGAAAAAAGACGAATAAAGATGTTAAAGACAAACGCCGCCTGTCAGTCTTCTGTCACATGTTCATACAAAGTGGACGAGAACACAGATGAACCCACAGGGTTTGGTTGTATTTGTAAATCCGTTAATGACCGTGAAGACTGTCATGTTCTACTATTTAATAACCACACATGGCCTCTGTAACATGACCAGTGACTAATTTCTAATCACATATCCAGTAATAGTCGGCATGCTAACATGCTGATGTTTAGTATGTTTGCTATATTAACCATCTTAGTTTAGCATATTAGCTGGCTAACGTTTGCTAATCAGCTCTAAACATACGACAGCAGAGACTAAAGGGACTGTTTTTAGTTTAACAGGTATGTTTCCAAACCAGTGTTTGATCATTTATAACTGATTTGACTGTGGCAGCAGAGAAAAGGTCAGGATCACTACAGTTATAACAATTTGTTTTGAATGTGAATGTCTTGCTAGCATGGCTAAAAACAACTGTATTTATATTTATAATGCTCACAAAGTAGTCTGATTCTTATGTACATATTAGTAGATCTAGAACACTTATAAAATAGCAGTCCTATTGTGTATTGGCTTGGCTATAGGATTCAAGAATTCATGTGGGTTTAAAAGAAAAATACAAATTGAGTTTGTGAATTAACTAAAAGTTTTGTTTCATGGAAAGTTTTAGATTGATGGTGGTTATCGCTTCTAGTGTTAATGTTTCTCAGATTGTCATAATGTATGAATATTCCTCCTCACACTCGTCATTAAGCCGAGTTCCTTCTTTCAGGAACCACATGAGCAAAGGCCCCATTGAACACAGTAATTCAGTGACAAGGCACCAAATTGACATTAACCTCTACAACATACACCTTTTACCCATAAACATAAGCTATTTTCATCTTTACCTAATAGTCATGCCCTAATAACTGCAATACTTTGGCGAGATAACTTAAAGCACAGCAGGTTGCAACAAACTCACTTTTTAATATTGATTTTCATAGTATTTTTAACAGTTTCCACATAAACACATTTATGCATAACCCAAAAGTCTGTCATTACAATTCATAAATATTGCAGCTACATATATATCATGTCTATATTTTCACTCTGTCAGCTGCAGACCAAGCTTACAACTAATAGTAAGACAGGATCATCCTCCCCACTTTTGTTGATTAAGGAAGGGTAGAAAGAATGAGTGGGTTCAAATGAATATCGCCGCCCAAAAGCTGCTCTGGAGCTTTTCATCGCATCACAAGATCTTCCTCATCAAATGGATTGTGCCTAGTTGTCATAGGAATGTAGAGTTGATGTTGAAATTTAGACTTTTCTGAAGAACTACAATTTTGAATGTTTACAATTCCATGAAAACTGGGCAAACCCCATCTGCTGAGGAGGAACTGAAAGCAAACCGCTCCTAAATGATACTTTTGGGGAGATTGTAAGGTTTCAAACAAAACAACACTTCACCGGGTACTTCATGAATATGGAGCTTGAACTTGGGCCAGAGCAGATCGCTGCAGGTATGAACAATGTAATTCATCTTTGAGTATGAGAATATGGAGCAGTTCCAGCAGAGTTAGGTTGACAGTGTTCAGAAAGCTTGGGTGAGCTGGAAAATACTGATCACATCTTTATAACTCTTCATTAAGTCCCTTAACCAAAGTTATATGAATCTTGTTTTGCATTTAGGAAGGCAGCACAATGTCAGACTAGATGTCATCAACTTGAGGAACTGTCTTCTGAATCGAAAACCTGGACACCCTTTCGGTGTCCATGCCTAAACTGCAGCGCCGCCTCGCCAGAGAACCTGACCCGCCTGTGCTCGTAATAGCAAACATCAGGACGGACTGCCTGAGATCACTCTTGGAGAATACTACGTGCTGTAGTTTGGTGAAAACCAGCACAGGTCATCATGGTGACCCCGACAGGCTTAACTTGTAACATAATTCAATGCTAATGTGTAATCATATTGAGATATTGTGGTCCCGTTTCTCGTGTTTAAATTGTAGATTAATTGACCTAAATCTTCCACAACAGGAAAAGAAAAGGTATTGTAGTTAATGTTTAACTTTTAATTGTGTGATTTTAGATACTTTAGTAACTTTAATAATTCTGCACTAATAATTAAGACATTCATTTTGTCCAGATCACTCTGTCAAGGCCTACTGCTGGCCTCCCGCTTTCTCCAGTCCACCCAAACAAAGTTCATATCGCAGTTCTGAGAGCAGACCGGGGGAACGACATCCTGCCTATGGAGTGGGAGGGACGGCCGTACAGTCTATAGTGCTGCAGAGGAGGAGATAAAAGGCTGGTTCAGGGTGTCTGACTACACTGAAGATGGCCACATGATACTATCAGTAGTGTGCTACTTCCCCATTGTGGAAGAGGACAGGGTGGAACAGGAGTAGTCTCAGAAAAAGAGGAAGAGGGAGGAGACCTCCACGGATGACATTAGCACTGACTTCCCTAAACGAAAAGGTCTTGGACTGTAAAAGTCTAGTGATTAAAAGACAACCTACTATTCCAAACCACCACAAGTACCTTAATGTGAAGGAGTATCAAGAAATACTAAAAAGATTTTCATCCTGGTGGCATCACACACTGCTGCAAATCACCCATCTGATCAAGTGAGCAGGACATCATCACCTTCAAAGGCACGGATGTGACTAAGGTCATGTTGGATCTTCTCTGCAGCTAAGAACAGTTTGTACAGCGAGAGAAATGTTTATTTTCTTTAATAATAATAATTTAAAAACTGTGATTAAAAAGAAAGTTGTTCAAATTGTCACCAAGGCAGCACCCTGCTTTGTGTGTTGACATATAGATTGAAGCTGAAACTAAATCTCCGGTCATGTACCATTTTTTATCACAACCGCAGTGAGCCAAGTTAGTCTCTAATATTTTAGTCAATTCTGAGATTTATGTGCTGAAAAGTACAATTAAGGCAGAAAGCTGAGCTCCAACTGCCATAGTATAGCGCGTGCACTTTGCCATATATAGCCTTTTATGTTCCTGTGGCTGTGGTTGTAGCCATTGCTGTGACTGGCTGTATTTATTGGTGTGGCTATGGCAGTAGCTGTAGCAACTGTATATGGCTGTTGCTGCAGCTGTAACTTTAGTTTGTTGGTTGTGATTTATGTCTAGCTGGCTACTCTTTGCAGCGACTAAGACACTGGTCAGCAAGACAAGTTGACCTACTATCTAGCATTGTACATTGTATTTCACTTTATTTCTTTGTTTGATTTGTTTTCATTTAGGCATTTTAAATCTTCCATAAACTACTTGTGGATGTCTTCTTCATGGCCGATTCACTTTGGGATTGTATTACATATTGGAAAATATCATCTGTTTATTAAACATTAAAATGTGTTACTCTCACTTGTATGAAACAGATGTTCTTATTTGTCAGGTTGCAAGTAAGGAAGCTGCTTTCAGACAATACTCACCACTGAAGATTTTTTTTATCTCAAAAATTACACATCATCATGGTGTTTGCATCTTTAAATATTGGGTAAAATATGTTTAGATAAACATTTCAGTTGAGTGTAATGATTGTTGAACTATTTCTGACAGTGCCTTCATAAAGCTGTGGTTAGCTAAGTGAGCAGGGAGTTAGTTAACGTTACTCCTGCTGAGCCCTTTTCATGCTTTTGTTGTGGATGACATTCAATGACAGGCCAAAGCTTGAGGATTTAAACCCTGATGACTCTTTTTCTGGCGCAGCTGGTCAGGTGATTGCAGATAGCAACCACAGACTGTATAAAAGGTTGCAACAAGCTCTGTGAGTAATGCTAGCATTAGCGTCATAGCTGAAATTTAGCTAGAAGAGAGTGTTGACTTTATTTTCTGGACTCAGATCTCTTACAGTGTTGGACGGTATAAACTTAAACGGAGACCACCATGAATCCACACTTCTTAAATATTATATATAATTTCAGCTTTTAAGGAATATTTTCAACCTGAGCTTCATATTTGATCCAGTTTTAAATAATTGTAAATGTTTGGTGAGTTTGATGTGTGAAAGATAGTCTATTATTGTTATTTTGCTGAAATATAAATCAATCAATTATATTTTAGCATTGCTATGGATGTGTGGACATATGGATATGCTATTTCTACAGAAACATTATAGAAAATGAATTTAAGTACTGTGAATTTGTCACTCTGCAAATAAGGATTTTGAAAACAAATCATCTGATACGATGCATTAAGATAAAAGTATGCAACAGTTAAGGCATGCAGTTAAAATTAACTCCACCTCAACTAGCAACAACATTAAAATACTGTTTACAAGTTTAATTTACAGGTTAATAATGTAACCTTTAGGAAGAGACCATTCTGCATAATGAGTAATTTGACATTTGCTGCTAAGTACATTTTGCTTTACTATCAATTTAGTAAATGTTGGTATGCTGAACTTTTACCTGTAAGAAAGTATTTCTAAATTGTGGTATTTGTAGTTATACTTAAGTAAAGAACCCGTGTACTTCCTCCACCACTGCACTGCCGCATGAACGTTTAAATCTCGTCCCAACAGGAGGGTGACAACAAGCACACATTTTACTGTCTCCTTTGGGTGTCTGCCAGCAGCAGGTTTTACTGCTGTTATGACTCATCCTCAGCTTCTCTATCCTGAGGCAAGATAACTGAGAATCACAGACACAAGCTTTGACCGTTACCTCAGTTAGGAAGGATTTCTAGTGTGCCTTGAAAACTGCAGGTGGTTGGATGAAGAAGCAGAACTTTAAACTCACTGGTTCATCATGTGTAGCGCTAGAAACACAAACAATGTTTTTTTTTTAATCTGCTGTGTTTTGAAACAAAAGTTGAGATTCAGAGTGAAAGATAAAGTTTCTGGTGACGAGCAGGACGATCATGGTGAAAGTCAGTCTGCTGGATCTTAGGTTGGGCCCACTAGGAAGAGACACACACGGTAATTAAAGACACATAAAAAGCCAATAAGCAGGGCTAGAGGTCAGTGATCATCACACACACACACACACACACACACACACACATAGTCGACCACTCTACCACCCTCTCCTTACCTCAACAGTGTACCTGGCCTGGTACTCTGTCAACTGTGGCGTCCTTCTGGGCTCTGTGCTGTAGACCGTTGGCTGCACATGGGCCAGAGGTATTGTGCTGCCACGAGGGGTGGCAGGAGGGAAGGTTTGCATCTTAAAGTAACAACTATTAGGGCATTCAGTTTCCAATGCATAGCTGAGAGCGAGGGGAAAGGATAGAAAACAACACAATAATGCACGTACAAGAGAAATCTAAAATAATTTTGAAAATAATGTTAGTTGTTAAAAGGGGTGGTTCGGGTCTGTGGCTTACCAGCTGCACTGCCTGGAAGTAGGCTGGAGGAAGGGGCTGCTATTCAGTCCAACAGCATGTCTCAAGCCCCTCAAGCAGGTGCTGTTATCCCATTTTTCAGCTTCTAATCAGATGTGGGAATTAACAAAGTACATTCACTCAAATACAGTTTTCTTACACTTTACCATGATTTTTCACACACCTGCTTACAGGTTAATGAATCAATATTTTAACAACACTCAAACATTTTTGGGAAGTACACTTAATCACTTTCTTGCTGAGAGTCAGATGAGAAGATGACTACCACTCTTTCTGGTGTATACATAGCTCCAGCTCAGCAGCTGTTCGCTTAGCTTAGTTTAGCATAAAGACCAAAAACATGGGCTCAGTCCCAAGCTAACAAAATCTGCCTACCGGCACCTCAGCTCAATAATTAACATGTTACTTGTTTTCACAGGCCAGGCTTTAACGGTTTTAAAAAGTGACCTGCCATGAAACATTCAAAAGAACTAAATGCATTCAGTCCTCAGGGTGAATTGTAAGAACTTTGATACTAACAAAACTAATGGCATTCCTCAGCTGCACTTTTGAGTTAACACGTGTTAGCATGCTAGCCTGCCAAACTAGAATGATGACAATTGTAAACATACAGTACCTGCTTACCTGCTCATGTTAGCATTGTCATTAGCACCATGTTAGCATGCTGATGTTATCATTCAGCTTAAAGTACTGTTGTGTCTAAGAGAGCTGCTCTAAAAATGACTTTATTTTAGTAAACATTATCTGCTAGTGAAATAGCCTGACCTCTTAACCTCACAAAAAGTGGTGTTGATATCACTGTAAACAAGTAATGTTTTTAGTTAAAGGTTATGCATCATGGGACGAGTGTGTTTCTATGTGTGACAGTGTTGTTCTACCTTCGATTGTGATAATTGGACTGGAGGCCACAGGAAGGTGTAGCAGGTGCTGCAGCCCGGCTTCTCTGCAGACATATCCAAGGAGATCTTCACAGCAGGCCGCACTGACATGAGATGACAACACAATCACACCTGAAAGTGCACAAATATGGAACGTGTTTTTGAAAATGACGCGTGGCTCTCTACTCCAAGAGCCCCTTTGGAAAATAATCTACAGTTGGAAAGCCCTTCAAACAAGAGCGGGCTAAAGAGTGGCAGATTAAACAGTGAAAGCATCTGGTGAATTTCAAAAAACAAAGCAACACAAACACAGCCATCTGACCTTCCTCATAGAGAACATCAGTCTTCTGCAGCGCCTCATCTTTTGCCTCTTGCTGCTCCAATTCATTAGCTGTCAAATGAAGAAAATGGACTGATTACCAATGCAGCTGCCAGCTTAGATGTGTGTGTATATATATATATATGTATATATGATAGATGTATGTGTGTGTGTGTGTTTCTATATATAGATATATATATGTGTCTGTGTGTGTGTGTGTGTTTCAGACAGATACAGACAACTCCTTACCCTTTCTACCACAAACATAGCGCAGCTGACCTCTCTCCTCCTTGCCAAGTACAGGCCCGGTGTCCCTGGCAACTCCCACTTCCTGTGTCCTGGCCTCTGTCAGGGCGGAGCCAACAACCCCAGATGCCTCGGAAACGGAACGAGCGAGGATGCCAAATGGAGGCAAAGAGGCAGGGAAGAGGGAGCAAGGGAGAGGCTGCGGGATAGAGTACAGAGAGAGTGATGGTGGTACTGGCAGCAGAAAGCTAGTTAGAATATAAAGCACATTACTGTGAACTTGCTGCATGTTGTTGCAGTTCACCTGTGAACAGCCACCTGAGCCATAGTTGCTGTTAGTTGTTTTGTAAAAGTAGTCATGAAATCCAGTCTATAAAAATAACATGACAGTAAGTCAATCTATTGATCTATCAATCTGTCTGTCCATCCATTAATCCATCCAACCTGAGGTGGGTTGACATATGGAGGAGCCACTTTAGTTTCAGGTCTGGGCTTCAGCTGGTTGACCTGTGGGTGGCGCTCACTAAGGGGTTTATAGTCACTACTGTAAGTGGTGACAAATCTCCCCAAAGGCATCAAGCCCATAGTCTGAAAGACAAAAACATACATTGTGAAAGTGTTACCTAACATGAGTTCACTGTGAGTATGAGGACGGTCACACAGTACAGCTGCCCAAAGACAGGATTCACACACTACAGTATCAGGAGCAATGGTTTGACCACAGCTGTTTGGCATACAGTGGTGGAGGAAGTATTTGGATCCTTGACTCAAATAAAAAATGCATTTTCTTTAATAGTAGGAAACAAATTTGTTCTGCAATTGCTGTGAGTAAGTCCTTGTAGAGCAATGTATCATAAAAACCAATCACATTCCTCTAACAGCTATTAATTTTGTTCAATTAAAATAGAATAGCAGTGACAAGGTTGTGAGGAAAAATCTTGATTTGGGTCCTCTGAGGGTTTAATAAAGGAAGATCATTCAAGAGAGAGAGGCTGATATGCATGAGCTGAGATTCAGGTTTGTAACACAGTTAACAGTAATGCTGACCGACATAGAGGCGCATTTTATGGAGGGTGACAAGTTTGCCTCGAGGCTGCAGACTCCATGTACGAGAGAGGGAAAAAGGTCAGCAAATGTGTGAAGAGGTAATAGCTCCAGCAGCAGGAGAAATGTTTTTCACATTTATTTTTACATCCTCATTTCAATTCCAAACATACGTTGGAAAACAAATAAAGCACACTGTGGCATAATTAAACTCAAAGACGAGAGAAAATAAACAGACAAGACAAATCAAGCAGCTCAAATATCAGAGTATTTACCTTCAGGCGTTTCAAGGGAAACATCTGATGGTTTTTTGATTCCTCAGAGTAACCTTAGTGCACCATCACAGCAGCTCAGCTCAGCTGTCTGCAGGCTCAAGGTGCCAGAATGTTACTGCGACTGTTTTGAATTAAACTCTGTTCATTCTATTGATGTTTACTCTGTTACCTGTGGCAACACCTGCTACTTACGCTTTTCTATCACATGACTCCTGCTCCAGGTTATGTGGAGCCAGGTAGGCTACTGTACATACTGCAATGCTGTGATTCAGTGACAGTAAATGGAGCACTGGGACATGGACAGTGCTCACAGAAACAGAGGAGGACTGAGTTTTCTCACGCTCTGCTCCACTTTCTCCTCATGCAGACATAAAAAAAAAGTCCAAATAACACAACATAGAGTCTTGCACGCACCTCCAAGTACTATTTAAAAACCATATAATATTCTTTGTGGAGTTCATCAGTGCTGATAAGTGATTCGAAGTAGCCTCAGGGATGTACTGGGACTGAAATTCAGCCCGGGACTTTGAGACGAAGAGGCCTTCTGTACATTTGCTGTATGGGGGCGTGGAGAAGGATTTTTTGCAGTTATTTTAATATATAGTGTTGTACTGAATACAGTCAATTTCATTATGATGAAGACCTTCAAGAAACGTTTTAGTTTAAGCCAGACGAGCCTGAGTCAGTCAGAATGCTAAAATAGTTAAATATACCCAGAAACTACAATGCAGTCCCATAAAATAGAGCAGTGTGTGTGCATAAAAATCAAATCCCTCATCTTCAGTAGGCATGAGTAGGCATATCCCTGTGCTGGACCCTCTGCTTTTACTGATTGTTCAGCTACATATGCAGGAGACGAACATCAGTAACAAATATAACTAACAATAATCCACACCGCCCCTGTACCTGTCACTGTTTCTGGTTCCATTGTCCTTCTCCTCCTGCTGCTTCTCTTCATCGTCCTTCTTCTACAGCTTCTCCTGTTCCTCATTCCTTCAACTGTTGTTTATAATATATATAGCCTAAATATATAATATAGCCTATTTGCCTAAACATAAATGCATATAAAAATAATCTCAGGTTATGTGTTGCCACAGCACCTTTCCACCAAGGAAGAGGTTGGTTAATTTGGCACATTTAGCTGCCTCTTGTACCAACATTTTATTTTCCTTCTTAATTCATATTTTTTGAACTCCAGCTGGAAAGTAAACTCCTTTGATCGGTGCCATTGAGCCAATCAGATTTCAACAAAAACGAATTTCATCCAAGTTGGGAGTGGCGCTGGTATCCCCCTCAATGTTGAAAGTATTAGTTTGGCCCAGTCTGATAGACACAGACAGCGTTAGCTGCAGCTGACTGGCCGGACGGTGCGGATCATTTAAAGTTGAACATAAGAAACTGAAAAATAAAAACTCTTGAATACCAGCTGGTTCGGCCTGAAATGGACCGGCCATTCGGGAATGTTCCCGAAATTCCTGATGGCCAATCTGCCCCTGAGTAGCCTATATATTTTATGAATGTTAACAGTCATCAATATTTTCTTACAACATAGTAGAATACCTTATGATTCAGCAAAAAATATGTGGTGTAAACTGCATTTCATCAGTGTCAAGTGTTTCAAAGTGTCTGAAATGGACCTTAAGAGCTGGATGCATAATTCGGCAGAACAAATGATGAAAGCTACCTGCCGAGATTTGCGTCCACCTCTTTTCTCAGCATGTACCAGTGTTGCCTACCGCGAGATGCATGCAATTCTCGGCAGGCATGCAGAATAGCTCCGCATTTTAAATTCTAATACAGCAAGAGGCAAGACTGCGGTGATCAACATGGTGTGATACAGATTGCTCTGGTTCAGTTTTATAGTGGTGTTTCCAGGAACAGGGTATTTATTTGAACACGGTCATGTGGCAATATGAAGATAAAAAAGACAACTATTTTCATTCCCAGATTTACAGCAATCACTTTTATAATTAAAACAGTCAGATCTAACTGAATGAAACTTTAGTTGGACATGGAAAAACTATACCCCATTTAAAGTTCCTCTCTTTGTGTATGAGGCACTACGGTGGTACTTAAAGAGTCATCATCTGCTCTTGGCAGTATATTTAAGCTGCTGTATACTCTTGGATTCATATTGAAGCTCTGCAGGTCCCAGACAATAATACGTTTCGTCAGAGGAAAACTCGGCAGCCTCGGCCTCAAAATTACAAAACGTATGACAGGAAAACAATTGTGTTGTGAACAAAGATTGTTTTCAAGATGCATCAAATAATGTCACAGTACACGTGGCTCCGTGGGAATACGGGCTTCTTGCTAGTTATTGCATTAACAAATGCAGACACAGTGGAGTGGAAAGGTTGTGTAATAGCACCATCTGCTAGTAAATGACAAAAGTGTTGGTTTTGTTACACAGACGTCCAATATACCAAACAATTCATCTGCTCAAGACAGAGCCCACTTACAGCCCAATTTTTTAATCAATATTTCACTGTTTTGGATGCTCTATGTTATTTGGAATGTGGTTGTATGGACAGAAATAGTGTTTTGAAGAAAACTCCCAATACCAGTGAACATATAAACAGTAAATATGGCAAACACATGGACATTCACCTGGTGTATTTTGAAAAATTGTGTAATAAATGTATTAGTTTCTTTTCATCTGTTTTACAGTTACATTTGTATTAGAAGATATTCAGTTGCATTATAACCTACAGGATGATGGCTGGGATGTGATGGTCTTTAATAAATTCTGACCTATCAAAGGAGACCAGAATCATGCATCTAGGCCTAATGGCATTTTTACTGGAAATAGGTGCAAACAGCTGGTAGTTACCAGCAGGTTAAAGGAGTCATATGTCTACCCATAATAACAGAATAACATTTAAACAGTGAGCATCTTTAAAACCTACACTTGCATTTAGGAATTTTAAAATGATACAACTTACTTCAGACATGATTTTAAGGATCACAGCTTAGATGGAACTGCAATTATCCTGGGAGATTATTCACAACCCTGAAGGAGCTTTCTGTCAAGTTGCCAGTATTTTTATTATAAATGTCAAATGTAAACAAGTGGTCTAGACAGTCCAAATTAAAGTAATATTGATTCCACTGTCAGAATAACCGGCATGGAGCTGTAAAAAAAAACTTTGTTCAACCACAGTCTTGGTATCGTGCAGTGAGATAAAATAAAGTGCAATTATTACACAATCTTTATGATAATTATCATTATAGTAAGAGTTATTAGCGAGGATGATAATAATCATATCTTGGCCCATACATTTTCCCTTTAGCTGAGCACTGATTGGTTTGAACTCTCATTGGCTGCTATTGAAAGTGTGTCGGTAGAAAATGTCGACGTTAGCTGTGTAATCCATAGTTATGGTGGCGCCCATGCTCCGAGCCCCCAGACTAGCGCCTCCGAGGGCCGAAGATTGCTGCAAAATCAGGAGGCTGTAGCCACGGAAACGACCCTTGAACTTGTCAGATGACGCCACTTTATCCAAGACCTCGGTGAACCCTGATCAGAGACAGAAATGCAGAAAAGAAAGAGAGGAAACTGAGATTTAGAGGAACAGTTTTATTGTGGCATTAAAATGATGGGGCCCATTTTCTTGATTTGTGGGTCACTGACCGGGCTTCAGAAGCTCCCAGCTCTTCCACACTGAGCCCTCACACAGGATGGGCAGGCCGAGGTCACTACTCAGTAGAGGCTGTCATGACAGACAGATGAAGACGTTACAAGAAACAAATGTACATAATGTTTCAAACGAATGAATGTGTCTGTGTACGTTACCTCTTGTGCTGCAGGTAAAACTGCTTCAACATGTTTTGCCAGGACTCTCCCAGCCTGAGTGAACACATACCGACAGAGAGCATCCCCTGCTACTGCACCTGAAACACATGCACACAAAACTTTTATTTTGACCTTCCACTCTAATCTTTTCCTTTTCTTTCTTTTCACAACAGAACCGAGCAGGAAGTGATGCAGCGCTGACCTTCAGCCAGCTTCTTGCAGAAACCAGCGAAATGGGACTTCTGGAAGTTTCTGTAGAGGTGCGGCAGCATGCCCATCAGATCTGACACCTGAGAAAAAAAATTCCACGTTTTTCCACATACGCATGTTTTCCCAGCATGCATCAGAAGAGAGAAACGCCATCAGGTGACAATCAACGGATTTTTTGTTCCAAGCCCCCGGACCATTTCTTAATCTGACTGGCACTACCAAGCGTCAGCACAAAGATGCGTGAACGTGCTTTACTCAGCATTTTCCAGCGCAAACGTGAGCTGGTATCCTTGTATAAGTGAACACACTGCTCACTGACCTGGAAGTATTCCTCCATGGCTTTTGTGACACGTGTAACGTCGTGAGGGGGAGCGACCAGATTGTCTCTGGCATCAAACACCGTCTTCACCGCCGAATGAGCGATCCAGAACGCTGAAGGATAGGAAGACGCCTAAAGCATTGGGTATAATCAATAAAGCTATAAATTATTCATACACATATTGCCATGGTTACCTGATCCTTCATCACCCATCATGTGACCCCAGCCTCCGCAGCCAATCTGGGAGCCATCGGGATTGAGTAACTTGCAATTAGAGCCGGTCCCTGATATCAGCACTACACCTCCTGCAGAAAAAACAGAGCTGTAGATGTGATAATAACGAAGACTGTGTTGATTTCATTAGGCCATAAAGTTTGGAAAGACATACTATAAATGGAATTGCTTTTATACGGCCACACCTAAGGGGGTAAAGTATCAAGCCTTGCCCTGTCATGACATTTATTAACTCTACTTTTAACTGTGAGTATCTTTCAAATGTAAATTTAGGTTGTTCAAAAGTGTAAATTAATCTACAGTAAAATCATTTACTAAAAAATATCTGATGTGCACATTTATATCCTATAAAAATGTTTATAATATAGAATATCTATGGCTTTTAGTTACATTTTAGGCAAATGTATATGGTATAAATCGTTGAAAATAAGAATGCTTTTGCGAGTGAGATTAAATTAAGTGTAAATGCAGGCAACTCCTTAATGCATGTCTCTCCAGCGCTGTTTAGTTTTATGCCGAGGTCTGACAGCAGGACA